TAAATACGAGCAGGCAGAGTGCAGTACCCAGCTTTCAAACACTGTAACACATAGTAAACACTGATGAAGAAGATGAACTGTCTTTTTCATGAGCACTTTTATGTTCTCATCTCCCATAGCTCCCAGGAACCAGCTGCTATGTGAACTGCTGACATCCCAGCTCAAAGGGACTGCAGACCAAACAGAAAGTCTTGTTCTGGGGAAATTCCTGAGCCCAGGAGATTGTAGGATTACTGTGGATAAGTAAAGAACTATGGATTGATAAGTTTTTCTGTTAATCCCCAAGGTGAACTTCATGAACGTCCACTGCAGAGTAACTTTTCATGAATAAGCTGTGGTAACTTGAAAAAGAGAGGGGAATTTCTTGGGTCTTTGAGTCCCACTCCAGCTCAAAGCAGGTTGACTTTTGAGTTAGGTGTTGCTGCTTATGTCCTTGTCCACGTGAATATCTCCAATAACTCTCTGGGCACCTGTGCCTGGGCTTAGCCACTCTGAAGATCTTTTTTGTCTCCAGCCACATGTAATTTTCCTTGCTGCTCCTTGTGCCTGTTGCCTCTGCCCATCTGCTGTGCTCCTTCAAGGACAGCCTATCTCCACCTGCTCTGGAACTTTTTGGATAGTGGGAGAGTGCAATTAGGTGTCCCTCCTGCCTGAGCAGAAAAGCTCTCTCTCTCTCTTCTGTGACATTGTGTACTCCATCTCCCTGACATCCTGGTGTGTTTCTGCTGGAGCTGCTGCACTTTCAGTGCCCCTCTTACACTGGGCAGCCCCAAACTGGGTACGGCACTGCAGGTATCATCCCAAAAGTACCGTGCAAAAGGGAAGGGTCTCCTGCCTTGACCCACTGTGCTGCAACTCACACAGCTCAGGGTGCTGTTGGTTTGCTTTATTGCAAGGTTACATCATTGTCTCTTGTTCAGGTGGCAAGAGACTGAAGAGACTTGAAGATTCCAGGACTTTTATTCAAACACGTGTTTGCAGGCTCTAGGAATGCACTTAGGATTGCTGCCAGGGAATGTGTCCCTGAGAACGTGCTGCCCACGTTCCCTTGAATTTTGGGCCTCTTTAGTCTGTCTCAGTTTGGTCTCCCAAAAATAAACATTTCCATATTTTTGCTAAATACTCTTTGATTATTTGGCTTTGGGCTTTAGCATAATGGAGGTCAGTCCCTTCCTAAATAAAAGGATAAGTCCTACTTCCTCAGGCAGTCCTGGAGGAAATGAGCTGCCCAAGTGAACTGATGTGGAATTTAAGTAAGAGCCCAGCGTAAATGCTAGCAGGCATTGGCCTAAAAATATCTGCTGATTTTACTGCAGAAAGAATGACACGCACCTCTGATAATTTGTCTTGTGGTGAGTCCTGCCAGATCCAGGCTGTGCCTGGATCCTGAATGATTACTGCACTTCCTGCTGGTTTGAGGAGTAGAAAAACAGATGAGAGGTGCAAATAAACCTGTTTTCCTCTAAGAATTACTGCAGCTGAAGCCCCAGTTGGCCAGAGGATGCTGTCCACAAGCGTAGGTCGACAGACAATTCATTGTGCTTGGCCAACAGAAGTGTGTGTGTGTGTGTGCATATCTCTATATTTGTGTATCTTCATGCTGTGATATCTCTATGAAACTATTACACCCAAGCAAGGTTGGTTGTTGAACTTCAGCTTGGTTACGTTTGCCCAAGGCGTGGCCAAAGCTTCCCTATAAAGGAGAGCAGGGATTGGGCCAGCCCGTGTCTCTCTGTGGGTGCTGGCTGGAGTCACGCCGGAGGCACTGCAGGTAAAAAGCACCCCTTGGTGTTTTATTTAGCACGAGATGAAGCAGGTGCAATACAGGTAATAGGGCTGGAAAAGCACCATAGACACATTGAGAGACAGAATAAATTAGAGTCCCTATCCTTAATGTTACCTGGAGGGAAAGAAGAGATGAATTTGCCATCCTAGAAAGAGGCTCCATTGTAAAACGGTAAGTTGTCAGAAGTAATTGGATCAAGTGGGAGTAGAGATTCTAAGATGAGGAGGATGCTATAGTTACTGTAGGCTGGTGTTAAATGAGGTAGAAAAAAGGTATCTGGAACTGTCCTATGCTGTGTATGCAAAACGAGAAGAAAATTGAGTTAATAAATAGCCAGAAGGGAGTACTTCACAGGCTGTTTGGAGCAGAAGGTCGTGCAAGATGCCACTGAGAAAGTAATCTCCTCGAGGGCTGCCAGAGTGCCTGGCTTTGGGTTTGATTTTCTGTGGTACTCAAGGCTTTTGCACGTGGTGTGTGCAAGGAGCTGCTGTCCATGTGGGGTTTGGGACACCCACGTTCTGGTCCCTGCACTGCATCCTCAGCTTGCTGTCTCTGCAGGGGCTGCTGCCTCTCATTTGTTTCTTGCTCTGAATGCCAGGAGGGATAATAAACTCACACTTTCCTTCATTATAAGATAATTCTGGAACTGAGTCCCTGACATTTTTACAATGCTTCAAGTACGTGAATGACAGGATCTTAGAGGAAAGAGTGCTGGCATTACTGTGGCATATATTGAATATTATGGGGAGATGAAATGTAGCTTGATAGTTTGGAGTGTTTGAAAGGAAGCAGGGGAAGAAGGGCTGCTGGCTTTTCAGCTCTTCTGGTACTCTTTGTTGTGTTTGAGAAAATTAGTTGCTCTTTCTAAAGTACAGAAATTCAGCTAAGCCAACGTATAATGGAAATGTTTTGAGAAAATCAGTGGAGAGGAGAAGGTTCAGCTATGAAGTACACATGGTTTCTAATTGCCTATTTCTACTTTCTACTCCGTGAAAAATACCAAAGCCATTGAAGGAAATGATGTCTGTACTGTGACATAAATCTTTATGCAAAGAGTAATTAGCTGTCAGTAGCTTTTGCTGCCATTGAGTACCTGATTATAGCTGTGGCTTGACATCTTTGCTGAATGAGAGCTGGAGGGAGACAGGACACACCTTCACGGCTGCCTTTTAAGCTGTTCAGTGCAGAGAGTGCTGGGCTGCTTGGGGTTTCCCCATGGATTTCTGCAGGAGACACCAACCTTTTTGCCCTGCTGTGTTCAGAGACTCCTCTTTCCTTCCCATCCTTTCCAGCTGCATCACTTGATCTCTTTATATCCTTCTGTCTGTGGATTTTCCTCTGCTTACTTCCTCTCCCTCTTTCTTTGCTGTTTGTCCCTTTCTCAGGGACAGACAACACGGATATCCCTCTGCTGAGAAGGAAGAGAAACCAAAAAAGAGCAGCAAAGTTGGGTGTGATTCCCTTCTCCATTTCAGATAAGTAAGCGTGTTGAAGGAGATCCCAGGACTAAGCAAATATTTGTTTAGCCCCTCCTGAATGTTTATCCCCTTCTGAATAATAATTTCTTCCCTTAGTTGAGTGGCAGTCTCTTTGTTTTCTTTAGAGTTTGACAATGTCTGTACCAGACTTTGTGAGTGTTTGGAATCCCTCCTCTCTCCTTGCATCCTGTGTCAGGCAGCAGTGCAAGGGCAACATCTCCGGTATCCATTCCATTATAACTCTGTCCCTTGATAGCCTTTCTGCCTCTTGAGGTCAGTAACAGTAAGAAGCTCCCCAACCAAGCAGGCAACATTCAGCTTTAACAACTTTTGTGACCTTTGCTGTTGTTGTTGGACCCGTGAGAGCCACGTGGGAGAGCTGTGGCCAGGATTCAGGATGCTGCTCCAAAAGAGGCGACCATCAGAGCGTGTTGGAGCAGCCAGGGCAGTGCTAGGCAGGTCCTGACCCCATGGGCTGCCTGCAGAGGGGCATGGGTGGGCGTGGAACTCATGTGGCTGTGCTGATGAAGATATTCCTGCAAGGGAGTAGTAGTTAAGTGTGTTATTTTCCTCAGTCTGGTTGCTAATTTAATCCCAATATGTTAAACAACGTAATTAAACACACACACACACATGCTAAAAACTCTTGTTCTCTGTCAGAAGAGAGGGAACGCGTGTCAGACCCAGCCTTCAAGCTCTGTTAATTTTAATTTGAGCTTTGGAATTAGTAATCAGTTTTGCTGGAACACTGTTTCAAGAAATAGATCTTAGCATGCACGGAGCCTGGGCACAGTTTCAAATGAGTATTTGTTAAGAAGCCATTCCCTTGTCGTGTTATGGTACATTACATAAGATTTATTTCCATTGTATTAAAAAATGCAATCCCCAGGGGAATGCTCTCTCTTCTTGTTGGCCGAGGGTGGTTTTGGATTTTTTTTGTGGGGCTTTTAATTAAAACAATGAGATGCAAAACCACTTATTTGTTTAGGCTGTTGTTACCATGCCAGGAGGCTAAGTGACTTGAAGCACTGAGAAAGGTGATGAGACTAAGTGAAAAGGGTGTAGGGAGGGGAGTGGGGGCTGTATCACACCTTCATTGCAGCTGAGCTGTGTTTTTGACATGTGGGAAGAATTCACAATACAAACCTGAGGCTTTGCTCTTACTGGAGCCATCTGCTCTGTTTGTCCAGCACCAGGGACATCTCAGATCTACAGATAAGTTTGTTTGGCAGAAAAGAACCCTTTCATCTACAAAAAAAAATTGAACAACAGAAAGAAAATCAAACAAGCAAACAAAACCAACCAACCAAAAGAGCTATGGCATCCGGGTGCTGGAAAGTGAGACTAGGTGACTTCAGGCTAGAAATTAGCACAGCAAAGTTAATTAACTGCAGGTGAGGATTGCCCAGGGCATGTGGTGGATTTTCCAGGGCTAATTTATGGAAGCCAGGAGCTGGGAGCAGGAATCCCTGGACCAAGTGTGGTGGAATCCAAAAAACAAGACACCAGAGCAGGATCACAGGGATTCTGCCTTTAAAAGTCTGCTGATAAGGGGCTTATTTTTTCATAGGGAAAGAAGCAAAAGGGGAAATATAGCTCAGGATAGTTAATATTTTGGTTTTGTGAGGGCAAATGGGAATGAAGGATGAAAACTGGGGTGGACCCTGTGTCATGTCTTTATCCAGCAACATGTAATTCTGTGTTACGACAGGAGCTGAAGGAACCAGGAGGCAAGGCAGGCTGCACAACCTTCCTGCTACTTCTCCGAGCCCTGAAACCACAGCAGAACCTTTCAGCTGAAGGGACATCCCCAGGAGCTGGTGCCCAGGTGTGTGTCTCTGTACATCCATGTGGCTCTGGGGAGCACACCTCAAAACTTGTGCTCTGGTTGGACAGAACAAATTGCTTTCTTTAAGCTCCAGTGCCACTGGCCCCTCCAAATGTGCAGTTTTCCCTCTTTCTTGTGTCCTTCTCCCACTGCTGTACTAAAATCTTTCCCATCCCACAGTCCAGTGTCTCCATGGAAGATGAGCTACCTCCCTTTGGAACAAAAGTAGATCTTTGATGGCAGGACTCCTGCTGTGCTCTTTGATGCCTGTAAAGGGACAGAGCCCTCAACAGGAGATTTTGGCTCCTGCATCCATCCCTAGCTGTGCCAGCAGGTGTATTAGCAGGTCTGTTCAGTCCAGGGCTTCACTGTGTGTATGAAATGTTCAGTTTCCTAATTAAAGTGCCCCTTTCTGTTAGACACATTAACAGAGAAGGGTTCCACCCTGCTTCAGACTGGAATACCTGGAGAAGCCACGCAGTGACTGCCCAGTTTAAACAGCAGCTTGCAATCCTGTGCTCTGGGCACAGCTGTGATACCTGACCCGAAGAATTTTGGGAACCTGTGGGCATCGTCCCTGCTCACACTCCCACTCCCCTGCGTGTGCAGCTCCTGCTCCTTCCCCTGTGCTGGCTTACATTGCAGCTGTACCTCAGTGCTCACACAGCAGCTCGCTAACAGCTTTGCTCCCTGTCCTCGGGGAAGACTCCAAATTGAATTTGTAGCACTGACAGCACTGGTTTAAGATAAACCAGTCGGGATTTGACGACTGCTCTTTCCCCATGCATTTCCAGCTAATAAGGATTTTGTCACTGTGGCTGCCCTCAGTTTTGCAAGCTGCAGCTCCACAGCCCTCCTGGTGGGAGGGGGAGGTGTTATCCCACACACCCCTGATGCACACTTTGCATCGGGAAACCAATTTCAGCCCCTGTCCTCCCCCCACAGGAAAAGGGCACGATGCTCGCCCCCAGCTCCGCTCCCACGCCAGAGCGGGGCTGGCAAACCACTGGAGCCACAGGAAGCCTCCAGAACCTGAAGAAATTTAACAGCCAGGACTTCAGGGACCTGCGAGCCTCGTGCCTGAGCCGAGGGCTGCTCTTTGAGGATGCCACCTTCCCAGCCCACATCAGCTCCATCGGTCCCACCCTGCTCCCGGAGGAGAAGCTTCGGCAGATCCAGTGGAAGAGGCCCACGGTGAGTTCCAGCAGCTGGGGAGCTTTGTGGCTCAGTGTGAGTGACTCCTGCTCAATGGGACCACTGATGGCCAGTGGCTAAATGCTGGTGTGAAAAACACCAATCATTTGTTTAAAATTTTCTAAATTTTAATAGTAATAAAATGGTTATAAAAACAGTAACACAAATTAGAGCAACAAGAATTTGGACAATCAGAGTCAGGACAATAAAAAAGCAAAGAATTACAAACGTTAGGATGCTTTCCTCTTGAAAGCATGGGTCGCTAACAAAGAATTAACCTTTAACAGCAATAGCCTGTTGCATGTTCATTTATCTCATACATGATTCAAAAATTCTTTTCAAACAAAGGGTGTTTTCTGGTTATTGTCAACTTCCCCCACCTCATCTTGTAAATCAGTCATCTCAGTCCCCACCAAGTCTGGTCCTTCCCGATAAGGAGGCAATAATAATTCTTCTCTTGGAGATTTTGGTGTCTTGTTGCTGTTATCTCTGTGCGAAGAATTTCTTGAGCTAGTTAGAAAAAGTATCTTACATCTCATAGTTTCTACTTTAATATTATGTTATAGCCTAAAACTATATTTAGCACAATACTGAAAAGGATTAATACATTATAACTTTCTAACATAACACGTATAATATTCATTTTAATATTTGTGAAAAGCCAATCATAAAATATGCATTTTTCACACTGTGTTGAGTAGGAGAGTTGACCTCAAGAGGAACACTGGAAGCACAGTTGTAAGGAGGGATCCTTGCTGTGGGATGTGTGGAGGGATGACAACCTGTGAGAAACAATTGCTTACTTTTAAAAATTTTAAAGATTTATTAAATGTTAACAAAAATTACAACAAATGGGCTAAATGAGGAAAAATTGCAGAGCTGGGAGCCCCCGTGACTATCAGCCAGGTGCTCGTCTACAAAATGGATGCTTTGCCTTTTATATCTTGAGCATCTCTCAGATTTTTCAGTCAATTCTTCCTCTTCTGTCCATTGGTGGAGATTGCTTACTTATATCTTGGTTGGAGGTCAGGTGTTGTTACCCTGAGCCTCTCGGTAATAAACTGGCCCTCTCTAAATGCCCTGACTACTGAGGCTGTTAAAAGGGGGAAGGGACAGAGAACTATGGAGGGACACATCACAGTAACATCACTACGCATCTTAACATCTACATAATGTCTATCTCTTAACTGTGAGAGCCAGCTATTGTATTACTCATCTGTAACACAACCTCTGCAACATTAATGATTCCATTAGGCACGTTTTCGTAGGAAGTTTGCTTCCACCTGTGAACCTGACTGGAACTACTGCTCCCACTTTGATCTGCTTCTAGAGGACTTAGTGCAAACCTGAAAAGTTGTTAAATTCTGTTGAAGATCTCTGATTTCTGTAATCCAGGCGACTGACTCAGCAATACCTATTTTAAAGTAATTGGGACAAGGCAGGAGATGAAGTTTGTGTGCTGATTCCCAGTTACAATTTAATAGGCAGTTATCGTCTGGCATATGGAAGTTTAGAACGGGAGGTGGAATCACATGCTCAGCTCTTTTATCCTAGGACCTAATTTAGGAAATCTTCCCGTGGTCCAACTGCTCTGTAGAGCACTGCTGTGTGCCATTTGCTGCTGGTGCAGCTCCTGGATGAGCCACGTGCTGCCCTTTTTCTGGGTTTTGCTGAGCACATCTCTACTGCCTGGGGCCTTTGGCTTCCCTGGGCTGCCTCAGGGTACAGGGACAGTGACTGTGAGACTGTAAAGAGACATCACGAAACAAGAGGAAAATATTTATTTGGGTGACAGATGGGTTAGGGCAGTGAGGGTGTGCTGGAGCTCGGCAGTGTGGTGGCCTTGGCACAGCAGCAGCAGAGGACGCAGCCAGTGTGCATGTTGAAATTCATGGATCCCAGAAGGGAAGCAGAGTAGCCAGGACAGCCTGCAGAGCTGGTAAATGTGGATGCCCACATGGAAAGGCAGGAAACACAGCACATGGTAGGTGTGGAGGTGCTGGGTGCAGATATTTGGGTGTCTTCTGTGGAGGTGCCATGAAGAGATCATTGTCTTCTGCAGAAGCTGCTCCTACCATAGGCTGAAGGTCTGGGCTTCTCCTTAGGCAGTTTTCCTTCAAAAAGTCTGTCTCTGGTGCTGTGTTTTTTCACTCTGCCTATGGGTTCACAGCAGGTGGGAATAATCTCTCTTGAAAGTTGGTTGTATTAGGAAAGTAACTAAAAATGCAAAGGAGAGGAGTTAGTTGCCTCTGTTTCCAGTCTGAGAGAGAAAAAGTAGGATAACTAAGCATTAGGCTCACAAAAGACAAACACAGATATTAGAAAGGGCTCTCCAGGGGCATTTTAAAGATGAATAAACTGGAAAAAACTGTTATGATACAGTTCTCTTAAGCACTAACACCCTGGTGCTTTTGCAGCAGAGAAGTGTAGGACTATAAAAGCATACAAAGTGACTTAGAAAACCAAATACCACTGATTTTGAGGCACTGCACTGTGGGATGAACATCTATCCCACTCTAATATCCTGAGAGTTATTTCATGTGCAAAGGGACTGACGTACCTTGCCAAAAGCAAAATCTGCTGCTCCTAGTGCTTGAAGTTTGTCAGGTGAGGCAGATATTGGAGAATTCCCTTTATTTTGCTGAATCCATGAATACTAAGGTTGTGAATAAAAGTTTTTGTGCAATTGGTTTCAAAAATTTACATATGTCCTCTCCATCCCGCCACTTCCCTTCTGAAGATTTTTTTGCAGCAGCAGAAGCTAGCAGTTTTACAGAGTGTTTCTTTTCAGGAAGGAAAAGGATCAAAATGGCCAGAGCTCTCCTTCAAAAAATTAAACCATATGCTCATGGGCCAGGGTTCATGATGTGAGCATTGAAAAGCCTTTTGTTCATTTATAGAGGCTAAAGCAGCATCACCAGCTGCCCTTCTATGACAAGGGACAAAAGTTGAGACTGCCGACTCAACTGGGTCACCTGGAACAGAAACTCAGGATTCCAGTGCTGAAGAAGGCCCCATTTTTTTTTTTTTTTCCTCAGTTTGACCAAAATTTTCACCTGCAGATGTCTCCCAGCCATGCAGACTTCACCTTGCCAGACAAGATGCAAGATAAAGGGCTGAGGAGAGCAACCAGAAATTCTCAGACGTCACCACAACAGCCATGCTGTGTCCTGGTGACATCAGAGTGTGGCCTCACTTTCCTGACAGAATGAAGCGGGGGTAGAAGGTGCTGCTGAATTGCAGTGTTTGCTTTTCATTTACAGAGCTGCAGATGTTTTGAATGAGGGGTCAGGAGGCAAATAAAGCTGTGTTTGCTTTTCATAAGCCCTGAAAGGCCAGTGCTGTGTCCAGTTGCCTCTGGGAGTTGGTCCCAGGAGGAAGAGGGAGATATCAGGTGGGGCACCTTTCACCCTTGCAGAAATGTTTGTACAATCTTTGTTCCTAGACCATTGCAGTGCTAACTCTAAGGATATGTGATCCCAGGTGTTTAAGCTACCTAAACAACTCAGCCAAGAGATACCTATAATTTCCCCAAGAGAGACTGTTTCCAGCCTGAATACATCTCCCAGAGACTCAGTGCAGTCGTATCCTGCTGACAAATCATGGCCAATTTAACCCATATCTGTATTTTTCCCAGCCTCCTCCATTAGCTCCTTCTGACATTAAAATAAATTTGTCTGGAATTGTACCTGTGACTGGCATCTTGGTCCTAATAATCTCTTAGCCTCCATTTATTGTCGTGCAGTATCTGGTTATTTAAGTGGTAGATAGCAATTATAACTGCTGTCTTTGTTCCAGATCCAACTGAGCAGTTGAGCTACATGCTGCTTCTATTTTACCTTGTACATTGTCAAGAGAATTGCCAATTACACTCAGATTTGGAGTCTTCATATCTGGGGGTAATGTATAAAGTGGAGAGAAAACAGCTTGATTTCAGACAGTGACAGTCAGCAGCGACTGTCAGAAACAACTTTTTGACTTGTAAACTCATCTTGTTTAATAGGCAAGTGCCTGAAAAGGGAGGGAAGGAGCACCAAGACAACATTTGGAATGTCATTTTCCCAACTCTGCAATAGTTACAGTTTCCCATCACATGGGGACTGCTTCAGGTTGTGTTTGCATCCCCAGGTCCACAATCTATGCCCATTGAAATGTGAAATCTGTAGCAGAGGTTTTGCATGTGGTATTTCAAGCATTACTAGAGGTCAGGTTGAAGGTGCCAAATACAGCAGAACCTCAAAATTAACTATTCCTTTGGCTCACCAACAGTTTTGAGAATTGGAAAAGAAGATCTGTTTTGTACTGAATAAATTATTTTCTATTGCTAGACTTTTCTAAATATCAGTCAAAGGGAAAGTCTCTGTGAAGAATTATGTCAGATTTTTAAAACTGAGATGCTCCTTTTAAAATGTTCAGAACAATTCTTTTTCATTATTTGCTGCTTTTCCTTCACACAAGTTATTGATTGGAACTGAAGAAGCCATGAAATGATTAACTGTTGCAGAATATGCATTTTTATTCAATTATTGTTCAGGCTAAAGATTTCTCTCTGTCCTGATCATAGTGCATAATACTGTGCAGATGCAAAAAGAAATTGAAGGAGGATGGTCCAGATGATGTGAATTGAGGTGATGCTAAACGTGGAATGCTTTACTTCAGCTAACATTGGTCATATTTTCAGATATGATATGTGTGAGGAGAGAGAGATTACCACCTGTGCAGCAGTGCCTTGGCCCTGCACCAGGGCTCAGTGTGGTGCCCATTGTAAATGTGAAGGATAGTCCGTGATCTTCAGTGCTTATGCTTTAGAAGAAGGCTGAAATGGGCACAGGGTGAAGTTGCTGAAGGCTTTTCTGAAGGGTCTTCAAGGTCGCAGACTGCTGCTCGTGCCCTGCTCACCCTTGGTCTCTTGGGAACCCATTATGGAACGAGGAGATGCTGAGCAGGACCTGGCATAAGAAGATCTGTCCTCTGATTAGCATGGACAGTTATGTGTGGGA